ATTCAAGGCCAGGTTGGACGGGGCTCTGAGCAACCTGATGTAGTCAGCGGTGTTCCTGCTCCTGCAGGGGGGTTGGACTAGATGACCTCTAGGTGTCCCTTCCAACCCAAAATGTTCTGTGATTCTATGATTCTAATAACAAATAAAAGTATCATAATACTTTGAAATCATGTCAAAAGTGTTTCAAAAGAGGCATCCTTTCTTTACTCTTTCTTATTCTCTGACAATAATACATAATGAGAGAAGACTGAATCCATCCCTGAAGAAATTTAATTCCACAACACAATGACTCCTCATAGTAGGTGACACTGGATCACCGCATTTGCAATGCCTCTGCTCTGGCCCTTTGCTGGGGCTAAAAGAAATGCTTTATCCAGTGGGAAGCCAAGAAGTTTTGGGCCACTTTCCTCCAGAAGCAGCAGAGCCAGCAGCAGCGTGAACAGCAGTAGGCAGGGCCATGCATCTTGCTACCATCAGAGCTGGGTAATTCTGTTACCGTTTGTTACTGCATACTTGTAGAAACATGACACTTAAAACCAGCACACTGTATGCAACACCTTAAGGAAACATAGGATTGCCACTTTATCTTGAAGCCTGCTTTCCTTTCAGTTGGTATCAGTGGAGAGGCATTTACGGCAGAAAAGCACAACAGCTCAAATGGCTTAGACTGCCTTTGCTCAAAAAAGGCTGCTCACATACGCACAAAATAATCTGCAGCCCTTTCAGGATTATAAGCATACAGATTTTCTAGGAGAGAAGCCCTGAAGAAAGACAGAAATGCATAAAAACTTCAGTCCTCTCTTCAAAGAGAAAAACTTTATTCAGATAAAATAGCACGAAGGAGGGAAAATACTGTACAGCCTGAGAAGACGTGCAGATCCAGACTAACAGCTCACTGCTTCTGCCAAACAAACAGCCCATCCAGCCCATGTTTCCTCCTTTCTTGTGCTGGCTTTTTATGTTTGTTGGATCCCTTAATGAACTGCCTCACTGTAATAACCTGGTAGAAAAAAAATCATCCTCATTTCTCCTGGCCAGTTTTTGACTTATGAGGGAGCTTACAGAAGGGTTAAGCAAGTGCCAGAGCTGCTTGGGGAGAAAGGAGCAGGGAGAAGCACACAAAAAGAGAAGGAAACCCTCCTTTCACTGATAGAGATGCTTAGGATCTGCTCAGCTGTTTCATCAGACTGCATCTCAGGGCTAATTTGAACTTTCTGCAAGTAACTTTTCCGTAAATTCTTGAGTCTTGATTTAAGGGGGGGAAAAAACCTTATTTGACAGGAAATTTTACAGCGTACCTGATAAAGACAAATAATTGATGTCATGACCTGCAGACCTGGCATATTTTCCTGTCTGGCCAAATCCAGTAAGTCTAGCATAGACGAGTCTGGGATTCTCCTGCAGAAGGACATCTGGACCAAGCCCAAGTTTTTCCATGACACCTTAAAAAGACAAAGGCACAGGATCCTAATTTGCGTTTGTTTTTAATAAGGCTCAAAATATACATGGTCCAAATTTAAATTATACAAGAGAACTGAATTGCAATTTATGAAGTAATACATTCTAATTCAGTATCCATATTACAATGTGAACAGCCAGAATGTTATAAATCTCCAACATACTGCATACATTTTGTATACAAGCCAGTTAAGTCAAAATTAAGCTTTAGGGTCCTTTCTTTTTTTCTCAGCTTTTTTACCTGTCTTACTTCCCCAAGCGATTGCCAGACAGCTTGCTATAAACCATGAGAATGGACTGAATGAGAGTTGAATGAGAGAAGAAAGCTACCAAAGACTTGTTTAAAAAAAAAAAAAAAAAAGAGCAAACTCTTACATATTCCACATTAAAATGGCCTGAAATTGCTTCCATCTTTTACTGGAATATACTTTCCTCACCTGATTAGCTGTTCCTGTAGCTTTTAACTCACTGATGCAAATGGACCATGCTACTATTCCACAAATGATAGGCAACAACTGCACAAAAGAAAATTTATTCCTTTGTAATGCAGAGAATAAAGGATTTTTAGAAATCAATAAAATGAGGTTTGGTCAGCATGGGTTTACAGTAATCAAGGCTAAAATTTTGAACTTGCAGTTCTAAACCAGAGGTTTCAAAAGAAGCAAATTCAAGTTGCAAATAAATGATAGATTTTTATTGGCTCAGTGCAGCTTGGTCAGACTGTGCCCTGTCATCTATACTCACACTGCAGGGAGACACATTTTGGAGGGAAAGGGATAACATAGCTTCAATGCCTATTCCAACCCAGAATCTACTGCTGCAACTTGTTTCACAGACCAGCCCATAATATTACTAAATCTTCAAATTCCTTAAGATCTATTTCTATTGTATTACTTCCTGGGCGATTCATGCCAAGAAAAATGCAGTGAAATTTGGTAAAGAGCAAGGTTTTCAAAAGCACAAGTGAGAACTGGGTGCCAAATAACTGTTGGTGTCAGCAAAGTCATTGTCGGAAGGTCGATGGTACACGTGCATTTCGAGAAACTCTCCTGCCACTTGTGCCGTCATCTTCTCACTGGTTCACACCAGCTTCAAGTTGGATCACAGATTTGCCTCGTTCAGTTACAGGCCCATAATACCTAACGTCCAGTTACAAAATTAACTCTGTTTCCAGATTTAAAAAAAAAAAAAAAAAAAAAAAAGCAAGTGCCTATAAAACTAAACATAAATTTCCATAAGAAAAAAAAAATCTCACTAGAAAGTAGGAAAGTTAGCTACAATGAAAACTGTAACTTAATGTTTTAACTTTCTTTGCATGGCTTCTGAGGAACAAGCCAAAAAATTCTTAAGGTAAAACCCATCACAATCATAAAACCATTTTCAGAATAAAAAGCATTATCCGTGACACAGGGTACGTGAGCCTGTTTATGATGTGCAATGTCTAACTGCCACAGCCTTCTATTTCTAAAATGACCGCAGAAACCCCCAAACACTTCAGCTAGCTACTCACTGAAGCATGGTCATAGACTCATAGAATGGTCTGGGTGGGAAGGGACCTTTAAAGGTCATCTAGTCCAACCCCCCTGCAATAAGCAGAGGAGGTCTTCAACTGGATCAGGTTGCTCAGAGCCCCGTCCAGCCTGACCTTGGGATACTCTTCATAACAGAAGAGCATTCTCAAAGAACAGCAGGGACACTGAAATAGCCCACGCATAAGCATCAAATGAGTGCTTGTGTACACGTTATGAATGAAGAGAACACGTTAGATCTGTTGCCTCCAGAGGAATCATAAGCTCTGAGACTTAGACTGCTATCTGCTACACCTTACCCACATGCTAACCTTACAAGTGTGAGTTGAATTGTATCAGCAGGCCTGAAAATCACTGCGGGACTGATGGCCAAGCTCATGCATGGCTCCTCGGCTTGGACATCCGCCGGTGCTGTCCATGACTACTTGTTTGGTGCCTCAATCAAGGCCCGGGCTGAGCACCTTCCATGTCTTCTCCCCTGTGGTGCTGCAAGGCTGTCGCACTTACAGAACCATAGAATCGTTTAGGTTGGAAAAGACCTTTAAGATCATCAAGTCCAACTATTACCCTAACCCTGCCATCCCACCACTAAACCATGTCCCTAAGCACCTTGTCTTTTAAATACCTAAAGGGATGGGGACTCCACCACTTCCCTGGGCTGCCAAGTCCAGTGCCTGATAACCCTTTCTGTCAAGAATTTTTTCCTAATGTCCAACCTAAACCTGCCCTGGAGCAACTTGAGGCCATTTCCCCTTGTCCTATCACCCATTACCAGGGAGAAGAGGCCAACCCCCCGCCCCCCCTGGCTCCCCCCTCCTGTCAGGCAGTTGTAGAGGGCGATAAGGGCAGACTTACGCTCCAGGCCCCTCACCAGCTTCGTTGCCCTCCTCTGGACATGTTCCAGCAACCCACTCGGTCCCACAGCATTTTTCACCGAGTCTCACGAAGTAACACACACAGACACACACACACTGACACACAGACACACTGACACACAGACACAGACACACACACAGACACCCACACACAGTGACACCCACACACACTGACACACAGACACAGACACACACACAGACACCCACACACAGTGACACCCACACACACTGACACACAGACACACTGACACACAGACACTGACACACAGACACTGACACACAGACACAGACACACACACACACACACAAGGCTCCGGCTCCTTTTTTTCCTCTTTTCGGCTGAGTCCCAGGGTCAGGATTTTGTCTTCGCTGTGCCAGAGCTTTCGGTAAACCCATGCGCATCTCTGAATGGCATTATTTGATTTAAATTCTCCTTAATGGCAGTTCCGCAGACTCTCAAGCGAGGGAGGCTCTTGAAAAGGAGCCAGCGCAAAGCGTCCTTTCCTCTTCCCTTTTTCTTGTTAGTTAATAAAGTTTTTGTATTCATCATTCATCAGGAGTCAGCCTGGGAGTGTGCTCTGTTTAAATGCTCTGGCTTTTCACTTAATGCATCCCATCTGTTTCTGAAATAAATTGCAATAATCCGTGTTTAATGTTAATCAATGTATTACTAAATATGCAAATTATATTAAAAGACGTGGTTTGAAAAAGCTTTCATTTGTAAATATGGTAGCTTAAAACAGGAAGCATATCTAAAAGCCATTTAGATACAGTAGCCTAACTCTAACAGTGTGGCTGATTTATAAAGCGGTTTGCAAGTTGATCTTTCTCCCACAAGGGGATATGTAAAACTGTTGCATATCAGATTTTGTTAACATCTGATGGCCAACGGGCGGAGCGGGCGCCGCCCCCTGAGGGGACCGGGGAGGAGCGGGCTGCGCCGCGCACGCCTGGCCCCTTCTGCTGGGCTCCGCGCCCGTCACCGAAATCGGGGAGAACGAACCTCGTAACACCAGTGCAGTGTTAGGAGGCAGGCATTCGCTGTTCACGGTGCCAGGCGCACGGGGGATCGCTCCACCTAACGTGCATCCCATCAAGCGGCACCTTGCCCGTTTATATGTAGCGAAGTATTCCATACGTATGAAGTTTTCCGATAGGCCTATACATAGGCATAACCTGTCTCCGCTTTGTATTAAAGTTAGCTTCAGGAGGTCATTTCCATAAGTCCCTCCCCACTGCGCCTGCTCAGTGCCTCCTGGTGGTGGTCGTCGGGGGTCGTGGGGATGAAGGCCGATGGCTCCTCTTCATCACCGCTAGTAACCCCTTGTTCTTGCGCAGACTCAGTTGCTCCTTGGCTCTTGCCCAAACTGCAGGGTCGGTGTAGACCAGCTCTTGAGGTAAACACCTGGTTCTTATCAAAAAACTGTCCTTTGTAAGGAGCCACGAATCTTCCTGCATCAATTAGTTCTCATTCCTTCTAGTCTGGCAACCTTGGCAAACCGTTATTATCTTTTTGCTTCATCCCCTCCCGATTCTTCCCGTCCTTGAATAGGGTTCTCAATTCACTAAGTAACTATACTACAGACTTTAAGAAGAACAGAAAAATCCAAGCTAGACACTACTGACTGTAACAAAGCAACCGCAAGCTAGACAATACTAATTTTAGCAAAGTAACAGCAAGCTAGACAAATTTTATGCATGTAAGCCGTTTTACATTTGGGGTCTTTTTGACCCTTAGGGTATCACCCCGGGCCTGAGGCGGCTCCTGCGGCCCCCGCCTGCGGGCACGGCCTGCGTGGGTGCCGGGGAAACCACAGTCGGGACTCCATGTCACGGTGACTGAGGAGCAGGCATCATTTATTACAGCGCTGGGCGCACAGGGGGTCGCTCCTCCCGTAAAGAGTTAGCCACGCAGTCTTTATGCAAATCAAACATGCATATGTAAATTAAATGTACATATTTATTACACCCCCAACAACTAACTTCTACCAGCCACCTGCATATTTATATATGCCTATTCCTGCACGCGCATCTCGGTCCATTGGGGGCTTCAGAGACATCTGGTGGTCGTTTACTTCATCCACTCCTCTTCTTCACCGTGTCCTTTTAGTGAACTTTTAGCTTTTCGCCGCCTTACTTTGCCGTCAGTAACACAGCCTGCACCAGCTGGTCCTTCATCCTTGAGCCATCCTCCTTTAATTCCTTTTCCCATGGTTCTCATTTTGGTTACCCTCACAAAGCATTAGAAGCTTCTGTTCCCTTGCATATCCCAACACAGTCAGCAATAAAGATAAGCAGCCAGCTATGAATCCTGCCTCTTTCTTTAAGCACCTGTCTTGTTCAGCAAGTTCAGCATGTTCAACGTATTCCATTCCCTTCAGTTCCTCCCCATCCGCTGTGGCTGTGCCTCCTGAGCCACGGGCTTCCCCCCGTTACACCGAGGGTCGCCCCGTCTCCGCGCCCCAGTTGGTTTTTAGTCAGGAGATGGGGCATTCCCTTGCTGCTGGGGGCCGGGCAGGCAGCAAAGAATGTGAAAACACCCAGTTTTCGGAAAACCTCCCCAGCGGCAGCCCTTGTGTTTTACAGGGTGGTGAACAGCAACACCAGTCTTGCTGGGACTGCTGTGGATGGCTCAAACCCGCACACACCTCTGCTTCCCAGGTCACACCTCGGGATATTAGTGGAAGGGATGATAAAACCTGTTTTTTTCAACAGAAGTGCCTTTAAACTGGGCTGACTGGTCCTGTTGCTCCTGCTACAGCAGCTGTGGCCTCTTCTGGAGCAAGCTTAAGCAGGCCCTTGTATGTCTGGTCGGGACAGGGCTGGCACAGCTGCTTGTGGAAAGTATGCTGCAGGGATTTTAAATAAATACAAATTTTAATCAAGATCTTGGTCCTTGCAGCTCACCGGTGCAGGGTCATTAGCTTAGCAGCAGTGCCACAAAGGGAAGATTGTCACCATGGAGCCTTCTGCCGGCCAGGAGTGTCGCGGAGCTTCAGTCAGAAATGTTATAAACGGCTGTGACAACTTTTAGAGTTTCCAGATAGAATTTATTTGAGCAAGCGATAAGCAGGCAAAACAGCGCTGGGCGGCCGGGGAGTCTCCGCTCCACCAACGGCGCGCCTCACCCCCACCAGAGTCCCTTTTTACAGTTTAGCAGTTCTGGGTTTTCCTAGCACATCCTGGTATCTTTCTGCAGCTGCACGTACTGTTGCTAGGGGGTCGTCTTGGTCCCTCTGGTGGTCGTGAGGATGAAGGTTGTAGTCTTCCTCCATGTTGTGGCTTGGCTTTTCTCCTTATTTGGTCATGTTGGCCCAGCATGAAACAGGAAGGATTCTTATCCATTCACCCAGCAGTGGTGATGTTCTGCTGAGTAAGCAAGCACAAAACCCTCCTGCCATGAGGCTTGATAATTTGTCAACATGTCAGGGAGTGATTGTGCAATCACTGCACAACAGCGACTTCAAAAGATAAAGGAACAGAAGGAAGGGGCTCTTTCCTCCCCCTCTATCTGCCGGTTTGAGAACAAATTCTCTATATACATTTATTACAAGAAATGTCTCCTGTCTTCCAGACACCTTCACCATTTCCCCTGCACAGAGCACAGGGGCTTGTGTTTGGTTAAATCAGACCAGGTTTAATAAAGCCTGCATTCACGCACAGTTACTCTTTTAATGCAGCCTGCCAGAAAAGCAGCCACGTTTGACTGGAGGCCATGGGCGCTTTGTTTTTGTTTAGGCTGCTCGCAGGAATGGACATTCATCCAGGAGAGGTGACGAAACAGGCACTGGACTAACACAGCTTTTCAGACTTATGTCCTGCTCCCAGTATTTCAGGTTACTAGGTAGGAGACAGAGTGAAGAGGCCCTTAAAATCAATCCATACTAATTTTATTCATTTCTTTAAATTAGCTGGACTACAAAAATGTGTAAAGGCTGCAAATATGAATGCAGAATTTGTTCTACCTCTTCCATAACAAACATAAGAGGTCTATTGCCAGAATACCCTTTTATTTTCCAGGTAGACCTTTGGTCCTGTAATGCAGGCACTGATTGTATCCACTGCTATACTGCCGCTCACAAGAAATGGCAGAGAGAAAAATACGTGCATTTTCATTCAAATGAAGCTGGGTTGTTTTGTTTATTATCCATCCCCCTTAGAAGCACTATTCCATATAAAGGTTTGTTTCCACAGGTGACATCATGTTACTGGGACACCGCATTTCTTTAAATGATTTTCAGTTCCATTTGTCCACTCTCACCTTTGGGTCTTGGAGTTTGTGTTGAATAGGAACAGGCAATTTCTCTTGTGTTGCCTTCCTTCGTTTCACCTGGTGCTCTAGTTTATCACATCCAAATAACACCATAATCACGCACTGGACAATGTCTGGATTTTGCTAGGGTTTAACTGAGCAGCCCTTTGCACCTGCTTTTTTGTTGTCATCCACCATTACGATGGGTACTCTGTGGCAGAAACATTCAAGTCAGGACCTTATTAAATTATTTCATTTTCAGGGAGGTGGTGGCAGCATTTTATGAGCATTAAATCCACTTTTTAAAATTGGATTTTAACAGACTAAGAAATAAACAGGCATGACAGAGAAAAAAGGTATTTTAATTAACCAAGAGATGAGGCTAATGATCTGAATCCAGCAAACTCTCCTGAAGCAACAAGTTGGCCAGCAGAAAATACGTGTTAAAAAC